AGCGTCTAGCTGGGTTGGCTATGTGCAGAGACTCTTCGTGGACGGGACTTTCAGTTTAGCCCCGGATCAATTCGCGCAGGTTTTCGTCATTTTGGCTGACCGTGGAGGGTATGCAATTCCGCTCTGCTACGCCCTCCTTCCAAACAAATCGGAAAACTCGTACCGCCGCATGATCGTTCTTGTCGTGGGAGCCTTCCCGTCGCTGAACCCAGCTTCGATCGCCATGGATTTCGAGATGACTGTCATCAACGCTTTCATCGCGGCTTTCCCGAATGCCGAAATTCACGGTTGCTTATTCCATTTGGTCAAAAGTGTGAGGAAAAAGCTATCGTCCTTGAATCTCCTGAAACGCTACAATGCAGATTCGAATTTCTCGCTCTGGTCTCGAATGATCCCGGCGATGGCCTTCGTGAGAGAAGATCTTCTTGACAGACCAATGATGGCTCTTCTGGAAGTTTTACCAGAAGAGTTGAAACCCGTCTACACTCACTTCGAGCTTACGTATGTGGGTCGCATACTCAGCGTTCGTCTAGATGGGTCAGTCATCAGGGACAATCCGCTCTTCAGCTCCGATATTAGGTCGGTCCATGAAAGGACTCTCAACGGTGAGAGCCGCACCAACAACTTCGCTGAAGCTGCTCATCGAAAACTCCAGGGGGCTTTCGGCGTCTGCCATCTTTCCATCTGGAAGTTCATAGATGGTCTCCGGCATGTGCAGCACAAGGCAGACGCCGAGCTTGAGCGATACATTATAGGATCTGCGCCGGCTCCAAAAAGACGCAGATATCTGAATACGGACGCCAATTTGCTCGAGTTGGTCCGTACCATCGAGAATCGAGAGCCGGTGGCCTTTCTGCGAGGGATCGCAAACAATTCCCTCATGGACAACTAGAAAAATCTTGTGATTCTAGTGTCTTGATTTACCGTTGCCCTCCCATCTATCATTTCCTTCCTTGGGAAAAATACTTGATAAGATAAACTAATCCTCACGGGAGTCTCACTGGAAACCATCCTCGCTTCTAACCAGTTCTCTATCGGTTTGAGAACCTTCCTTGCTTGTGAGAAACATGATAAAATTACGTGAGATGACTTGACCGGGGATCCCTGTGTTTTTTTTTCATGGGTAATGAAGATTTATCCGAAATGTTTGCAAGGGACGTCAGCGAGTATATATAGTGATCGAATGGAGTCAACCGACTCCATCCAGTCTGTCCCCGGTAGGCAGCGATCCGCTAACCGCTGCGCCGTTTCCGCTTTGGACCTCGATGGAAACCCTCTGAAGCAAGAACTCAGTTGCCCGCCTATCCCCGGTTGCCACCTCGATGCGTTTCCCCAAGTCGCGCAGGAAGAACT